TTCCGGCTTGTTATTCTATATTAGCAGATGAAATCAAGCGGAACGATAAACATTATAAATAGAGGTGTAATGACTCTTGCCATATACTCTGATGAAGGCTTGCAGTTCGCAGCCGAAAATTTAGTTTTTAATTGTACTAGTTTTTATTTTAAACAAAATGTTTTTAACTAGATCAGCTACAAACCTTAGAAAAGTTATCATGTATTCTACTGATCGCCTCAACAGCATATATATATATATATATATATATATATATATATATATATATATATATATATATATATATAGTTTTTCGTTTTACCTCAAAAAACCACAACAGTCTGTTTCATCCGTATAGGAATCATCAGGTGGTCTGATGATTCCTATACGGATGAAACAGACTGTTGTGGTTTTTTGAGGTAAAACGAAAAACTATATATATATATATATATATATATATATATATATATATATATATATATATATATATATATATATATATATATATATATATACATATATAAATACATAAATACATAGATAGATAGATAGATATAAATAGATAGATAGATATATATAGATAGATAGATATGTATATATATATATACCGGGTGTCCCCCCAAAAAAGTACTCCGGTTTGATTTATAATAACTTCTAAACAAGTAAAGCTATCAAACAGAAATAACTTGCATTAAATAAAGGAAGGACTAACTTAGATTTTGATATATTACAGTTGTATTTAATTTTACTTAAAAATTCACGGAGATATTAATGTTCAAAATCGGGAGCATATTTTGGGATGTGTCTAAAATTAGCGAAAATCGGCATATCAAATATTAACTTCAGCGTTTGTTTGCTTGATGACATATCAGGCTAACTTGTATTTCAGCAGATTGTCGTTAGGGTTTGTAAGGGATATGGCGTAGATTTAGACTTCTTACATGTAAGTCTTAGCTCATTGTTTCCTGAAATATGAACGTACGAAATTATGCAAGTATTTAATAGGTCTTTACAAACTTTACAAATTTATAAGGTACATGAAAGACCATGCAAGGCAAGCGCTTAAATTTTTCTTAGCCTAATTTTTTTATGTTTTTCATGGGTTCAAAACAGAGTTGATTATTTCTCGGTTAGAGCAGGATGAATATTATTCTGCAATGAAGGAAATAATATGGCTTTTTGCAAATACACATCACAGTATCAACGCTACTATTTTGTTACGTTTTGTTTAAAAAATGTTGGATGTCCCTGGGGAATTGCTTGTTATGTCTTATGGAGTTGTATGGTTTGATTGTGTTTCATTCTTAGTTTATTCTGAACTTGCCAAGATTAAGAAAAAGCAAAAAAGATTGAGTGTTCTTAACAAGATTTCAGAACGTTGCAAAAGTTAGAAGAGCTTCACAATTCCATTGTGACAGAATCCCCTAATTCAGAACACGAACGATCCATGACGATCCTTCGCGATGCAGTATATATATATATATATATATATATATATATATATATATATATATATATATATATATATATGAGATTGTTACTCTGAGTGTATATATCCACACCGGGCGAGCTTGAAAAATATGCCCGGCCACGGTGGGATTCGAACCTACGACCTTTGGAATACTAGCCCAATGCTCTTCCAACTGAGCTACGCGATCAGGACGGTTCGAGTAAGTGATATTTCGGAACAGAATCTAGTTCCTTCGATACCAATGTAATCTAGTAATATGATTTTTTTTTCTGGCAATGAATTCCTAGAAAATTCCAGGGGAGGGGTATATAAACTGAATTCCAGGAGGTCACATTTTAGATTGTAAAAAGATGTCCTCACACCCGCCCCCTCCCCCCCGTGTGGAAAATAAATGCAATCTGCCAATGTATTGTAAAACACCATTTCTCCTGTTTTACAATTGTGACTTCATAGTGCTCCCTGGGAAAGTTCACCCTGGGCCCCTCACAACCTTTTGGCACCCCTGGCTACACTAGCTTATTTTAATAATGTAAAAATAAAATGGATTATCAATTAATGTCTGATTTATTAATTGTGTTGTTCATGTACTGATGTAGTACATGGAATTTTCGAACGAAAATTTATATACAATGTTCTAGATGGAAATTTCGAACGAAAGTTTATATACAATGTTAGACGTAACTGGGAGCAGCTGGAACTTTAAGCCCTCTAAACAGGAATCTGACCACTGAGCTACAGAGACCAGTTGCTGGGAATTAATCACAAGTTCCTGTGTATCTAATTTGGTGATGAGCTTACGTTAGCCATAGCAAGTTAGCAATTTCACCATACAATATTTATGTTGCATAATGTTTTTAAATTTTGTCATCTATTTGGAGCAATAAAGAAAAATAAAGAAGAAACAACAATAGTATATTACTTCCACTCCTTAATTGTCAGGCGCCATATTGAATTTTGTGGCCGTGTCAGAAAAAGCCTGGTGACTAGGTGCTCTGACGGATCTGAAATATCCCTAACCCGTTTTCAGAGGTACGCTTCGAATATATGGCCCCGTTTACACTATACCGGATTACTTTTCATACCGGATTAATTTTTACTCCGAAGTAAAAAATCAAGGGTGTTTACACTATGCCGCTTCGCTCTGTTGCCAGCTCATGTCTTTCACTGTCGCCATGGAAACAAGTAGCCAATTGACCAAAATTTATTAAAAACAAGAAGTAACATCCGTTTTCTTTGTAAAGTATAACTTTGTTTAAAAAGCTTGACCGCCAGACGTTGCTTCGTTTCGCTCTAATCCAAAATTTCAGAGTATTTCTTTAAATTTTGCTCTTTCGAAAGCGAAAAGTCAATGTTATTATCGTTTTCTTTACTTGTATTCGGCAGAAATAGTAAATGGTTGCAAGGCGAAACAAACAACAGCTATAAAGTATTGTAAAAGCGAGCAAATAAAGGCGACAATGTTAAAACATACACGCCAAAACCGATTCTGTACCGAAGCGTACCGGATTAGCCTGTTTACACTGCTCCGGCACATACCGGATTACTTTTCATATCACCTCCAAAGCGGAGTGATTTTTGCTCCGCGTCGCGTACCGGATTACTGTGGCGTAGTGTAAACAGCAGCCGAATCTGGTATGAAAATCGCTTCGCTCCAATGCAATCCGGTATAGTGTAAACGGGGTTTATATCTCACTTGTTTGAGACATTTCGCTAACCGATTCATCATAATCACTGCTCTCAAAATGGCGAAAACCTGGTTTTGTGTAATATAAACTATGTCGTTTAGTTAAAAAAATCAATCTCAAGATTCAATGATTCCATAGGCAAGATCCATTATATTCAATGATTACTAGTAAACAATGATAGCAATTGAAGGAATGCATGTACTGTTTGACACCCACTCGCTCACGTTTCCGACCATAACCATTTAAGCAGCCCATTTTTCGAAATTTGTCAGCCACCTGACGATTCCTCTTGGATGAAACATGCTGTTGTGGCAACCTTTTGAGATAAAACGACCATTTCTGCTCTATCTATATAATATCGAGCACTCTTTAGCATGTCGTAAAACAAATCACATTCGTATATGCATGTATGAGGGGTGAGGTGATATCAGTTTTATCGCTTGCATGAGGGACGATATCATAAATGTCCTTCGTTTGCTGCGCTCACTCGTGACACTTATGATATTGCCCCTCAAGCGATAAAACTGATATCACCTCACCCCGATTATGATAACCTGTTTGTCACATACTTGTGCCTTTATGAGGGTTAGAATTTATTTTAAAAATAATCATTGCCCCAATGCAACAATTATTAAAAAGTAGACTAACCGATATATATATATATATATATATATATATATATATATATATATATATATATATATATATATATATATATATATATATATATATATATGAAGATTATAATTTATAAAACCAAAATTGATGAATATGCCAGTTATTTAATTAACTGTGGGCATGATAAAGAGCATGTTTTGGAGAAATTTAACGAGGTTTCTAATTTGAGACGGGACGAAGCACGCACTAGAAGAATTAATTCTGTTGGAAATCATTGTGTACTTAGTGTAAAGTATAATCCAGAGTTGCAAAAAAGCTGCGGGCATTACCCGTGAGGAAGGTTTACCATAGGCGAGGTCAGTGAGGAAGGTTTAGTAATCAACAGTCGCTAACACCGAAAAAGTGAAACAAATAAATAATAGTTAAATAGGCAGTTGAGGCTGACAAGTTAGTGTGGTGGTACTATTGTGATATAGTACCTATAACATATGACTATATGCCATTGGAGGATACAGAGAACACCGAATAACTGAAAATATTCTGTAAAGTTAAAATGTACTTGTCGAGTATCAGAGGCGCCATAAACCATTGCACCGCAAATAACAAGGCCTACTCTGGGACCTTAACTCGCCTTAACGCGCCTTATCTCGCCCTATCTCGCAATAGAAATTGATCGAATTTTGCTTAACTCGCCCAATCTCGCCTTATCTCGCAATGATAAGTTGACAAAATTTTGCTTAACTCGCCTAAACTCGTCCTATTTTGCAATAAAAACCGGCACAGTTTCACATCAGTAAACACAAATACTGTCAATCAAAATTCTTTAGACTCGCAATACTCATTATATATTCTATCAACATACAAATGTTATCATATTTTTATTTTACTACATTCTATGTAATGCCATAAAGCAGTATTGATCAAATAATACCACCAACTACTGTACTTTAATACAGTAAGCGCGCAGGGCTTAGCAGGCATATAGCTGGGTAATACCCAGTATTTAATAAATCACAGTGAAAATAATTGAACATAATAACAGAACCCAACTGCCAAGTATGGTTGAAAATTAATTGCTGCCGAGCGTAGCGAGGCAGCTCCCTATTCTTGACGTTACATGACGTTCTTGCTTTTTCGTGCCCAGTCCCCGGCCGAGTTATATTGGGGAAACATACTCAATCCATGTCAGTCCGTCGGATGTGAGATTTTGCTTTTTCGTGCCCAGTCCCCGGCCGAGTTATATTGGGAAACATACTCAATCCATGTCCGTTCGTCGGATGTGAAGATTTTTCGCAACTAATTGTCGTCAGCGCTCGAGCATTCGACGACTCTTTGTTTTCACTATTCGATTTTGATTTGTATTGCGCTCGCATGATTCTTCTCAGGATTACAGTTTAGTACGAGCTTATTTACATGCAGTATGTTGATTTTAACGATGCAAAGGATGGACAATATTTTCAATAATTCAGGTAATTCGATTTCAGTTTAATACCTTGTTATTTACATGCAGTATGTTGGATTTTCACGATGCAAACGATCGACAATATTTTGAATATTTCCGGTAAGGATAGCTTTATTTCTTTCTGAATTCTGGTGATATACATGAAGACATTTATATTTAGATTTGCTGTTTAGTGTTCGATATAGAGGCATTAAAACAAATATGATTTCATGAATTTGCAGTTCTAATAAGCCCACTGATTGTCTTTATATTCATACAAGGAGTCAAGATGTACTTTTAGTTTATCTATTTGTGTGGCGAATGGCGATGTGCCAAGGACGCATTTATATTTAGATTTGCTGTTTAGTGTTCGATATAGAGGCATTGAAACCAATATGATTTCATCAATTTGCAGTTCTAATAAGCCCACTGATTGTCTTATATTATACAAGGACTTGTAATATTCCCTGGTGCTGTAGAGAGTGTTGTGGAGTTATGGTGCACTCAAATGTGTGTATGGCTTTGTGTATACAGTAGTGCGAGTAGATACAGGTTTATACAATCATTGTGTAATGTGCTTCACTCAGTTCACTGTTGTTTTATCCACGGCGAACATTTATTGTATGGTTCTCATTAGTAACAACCGGTGTCTCATATTACATCACAAAGCTTTTTGCGCGGATTATATTTCGCACATTACTAAAATTCGCGCAACCCAGCGCTGCGCGAATTCTAGTACTGCCCAAATTTTTATATAAGTAAGGTATATGAAATTGTAGCAACAAGTCATGTGATGCAAGTTTTTAATGATTTATATCCAGGTTTATTAGCATAGCATGACCAGTTGCCGTGGCTAGCTTGCCACTGAATACTGTACAATGACATATTGCCATATATATCAACAGTGATATCATAATACGTGAATAAATCATTGGACATGTAGAGTTTAGTTTAATAATTGCTAGCTTCACCATTAACAGTATAATTATACATACAAAAGCAAGAAGTTATAAGCATTGAAGGGATTCATATAAAACCCCCCATACCAAGAAAGTAGGATTAAAATCTTAGCTGAACTTCGACTTTGTGCAAGGTGTTTGATATTCAAATTGCACTTTTCGGTCTTTTCCTGCATCCTGAACAGGCGTATTATATTAGCAATCTCGTACCCAGAGTATGCCCGTTCGCAAGTTTGGTCATGCCCAGCACCTAACCTGCGAACGGGCATACTCTGGGCTGTTTACATGATGGAAGTTGGGATGATTTTGATGTATTGAAATAAGTCACTAGAATAAACAAAAGTTCAAATGCTGGCTAACCGAACTCAAATGTTGTGGAGAAAATCATGTAGTTCAAGATTTTTATAGCTTTTTGAACAACCTTTCGTTTACAGTTGACTATAATCCATCTCTAGAAAATAAAGTTTTTCACAAAATCATCGCGCCTTATATCTCGTCCTGGCAAAGCGGTTTAAGCGAGATCCGTATAAATAGCCATTATTCAGCAAATTGCGTATGCTCCCTGTCTTTGATCCCTTGGGGGTGAGGCAGCACTTTCCTTGCGATAGTAACTTCTAGTATTCCCATATATACTAATATACAGATCACATATCTATTCTATTCCAACTATACAATGATATCAAAACATCAAAAGTACTTGCTTAGCTTTTATACAGCTATCACATGACTATCAAACTTTACTAAAATACTGTTATGCTTATAGTAAGGTCTCTATGATATCAACAGCTCAAACTGCAAAGTTATTCATTGAACTGTTTTTATATACAACCGGCAACAGAACTACTGAACCAACGATACGCGCAGAATTTTAGAAGAAATATTTTAATACACAATCACATTCACAAAATTCATGAAAAATTGAAAATATAGATTTACAGTAAAAGCAAAGTTAAAGGTGAATATTGTAGTAAACATACCGTGCTTGTCTGCCTGTGACCAACATTAAATTTAGTAGAAACAATCTGTAGTGACAAGGCTTTTTCAGCCTTTTTGAATCTCATTTTAATATCGTAATACATGTATCCCGCCATATTGCGTTTGCGGAATCGAATGATTCTGACTTATAGACTGCGTAGACTCCCCCCCCCCCCGACCACAGAGGAAGTACCGCGAT